CCCCAAAACCCCAAAACCCCAAAACCCCAAAACCCCAATAATGAGGATAATTATTGGAAATTATTCGATTTTATTAATAATAAATTTTTATTTTGGGAACTGTGTGGGGTAATGTTTGGGAGGGGTTGGGTGGGGGAGGAAGTGATTGGGAAATGTTTTGGTACTTTAGAATAGGTTTTATGGTGTGAAAGTGTTTTATGGATTGTTTACAGACTTTTCTGATAGAAATATACTGTTTTGAGGTATTTTTAATGATTTTTAGGATAAAAATGAGCTCAAAAAGGAACAATAGTCTTCAAAAAGTTGTTAGAATGAGTAAAATGACTAAACTTCAGAAGAATTTCATATCAAATGTAAGAAGCATTGGGATTTTGTTTCTTTATCCCTGGACGTTTTTCTCTTTTAAACCAGACAACTTTTGGATTCTAAGAAAAGAAGATGACATGGCCGAATCTCCTTAGCTCTTTTCTGATAATTTTTTCTCAATACTTTTGAGATAACTAATTTCTTCCTTTCGGTATTTCTTAGTGTGTACATCATTCATTTACTTAATCATCTAAACTATGAAATTTTTTCGAAGATCTTTAAGAAATTTTTCAATCTATTTTATCCAGAGAAGTTTTATAACGGTGAGAATTCCCCTTTGATCTCTACTGGTAGACTTTAAGGCACCTTATTGATTAGCTGCTCTTATATTTTAACTATTAGAAGCATACATTTGACAGAAGAGAGGTAATGAACTCGCCTAACAAGAGGAAAGTTAAGAAGGAGAAATCTTCAAAACAAATCAATATTGACACAAATGATTTGGAAGGTGAGGAGGGAATTTCACAAAAATTCTGTGATACTTCAGAAATGCTTCTTTTCTAATCTCTGCTGGAAGAGCACTTTGAATCGGAGTAGAAGTTATTTACTATTATCAGATTTTTGTACATATTTCATTTATTTTGTAGCTTTTTCCTTCTAAATTTTCTAAAATGCTTGGTCCATATAAAATATTGATCTAATAAATCTAGACAGAAGGAAATCAAAAAGTAGGAAGAATATCACTGTTGAGAGAGAGTTGCCTAACAAAACTTTTGATGCAAGATTAATGTACAGAACTGCTAAGAAAGATCAGTTAAAATAAGATGAATTTTCACAAATATGTGTCTAAAACTGGCAGAAGAGAGCATACTTCTGGATCGAAAGGCAGAGGTCTTACAGTCGATGGCGATGAAGGTTCAAAGAAGCTCCCACCTTTAAGAGGTAGAGACATAACTAAGTCGTATGATTATGAAGATAGTAAGTCAAGTTTGGTGTTATCGACAATGCTTTAGAGTATTAGCAATGATCACTACCAACCTATATCTTTCAACTGAATTTTTTGAAATATGCTTAATCCCATCTAGATGGAATATTGAGAGAGCGTAGTGAGGATATACTTCCTAATGAAGTTCCATGGCATCATCCTAACAGGTCGATTCGGACAAATAAAATTGTGAATCTTTACGAGGGATCAATGATGGAACTTTTAGCTACCTCGACACAAGGCTCTGGGCTTATCAGAAACAATAAGCATGTTATCTCCCATAGACCGTATGACAAAAAAATTTCTGCTAGAAATTCAGGCTATATTGATCCTAATGAGAGGGAGAAAATTTATATCAAAAGACATCTTCTAAAAACCAGGGGTGTCACTGCTCTGACCAAGTCAGTCAATATAGATACTTCCACAGCTATTACCCTTATTAACGATATTGAGAAGAAGAAAACCATGAAGGATGCCAAGAAGTTGGAGAATATTGATCTCAGAAGGTTGATCCAGAAGACAAACAAAGACTTTAAGATTGCTCTGTACAAGCTTTGCAAAGCAACACATGATATGAAGCCAAAGTCGTTAATAATCAATACTCCTACAGAATTTGAAGTGATCGACACGATCCCAACACTATTCAAGGTGTCTCTTGAAGGATTGAAACCACCTATAACACTCAACATTACATATCTCAGTGCTGTAAAAGGTACCTTTATCTCATAACTCCTAGATTTGATTGTATATTACTCTTGGAAGAATTATGACCCGGATAAAGAAGATCATGATGGTGCATATAAGAACCCAAACAGGATTTATTTGAATAATAAAATGAAGGGCAATATTAGGCCAGGGTACTTATCTCATAACAAATAGGTGCAAAGCATACTTTTCACTCCATTCATATAAAGGGAATTTTGTTAGGATAACTGCCCGTCCGAATAAAGAGAAAGCTAATATGTCTCAAAATCTTGTTCAAGAAAATAAAGAATATGCTATGATCAACCATGGATCAGCTTTTGATGCCAAAATGGCTGATTCTATGATAGACACCATCCAAGAGATGAAGTCTACTAATGAAGTTTACATTCCTGAGGTCAATGTAGAGCCGAAGCTGCAAAGCTTGGCCAATGACCCATTACATTTCCAAGCCTTCAGCATGGTAATTGACAAGGTAAGGGAAAGAATGAAGAAGAACAAGTTGAAGCTCCAAGGCAATAATTTTATGAAGAAAAATATTGCTCTGATAAAGCACTGGCATGAATATAAGAATGAAAAACGAGAGAAAGTTGGATTCTATCACAGTAATATTGAAAATGTCCAGAAAAAGAGAGACCTTATATTGAAACTTAAAAGGGAAAAGAAAGGTATTCAGGTGAAAGAAAAAGAGAAATTAAAGGAAGAAGAGAGACAGATTAGGAAACAACAAAATTTAGCCAATTCATGGTACTTGCTACTAGCTCAAAGCAAGATGGTATAAATCTGAAGAATTATGAAATAGAAGCAACATATATCAACAATCAACAATTTATTCCAGTCAAAAATGTATGAAATCAGGGTAGAAGAGCGTAAAGCCTTCATAAAATGGAGACTAAGGTTCGTGACTAGCCTATATCTCAAGAAAAGAGGCGAAACTGTTGAAGTCAGGAACTTCAGAGATATCAAGAAGTAAGCCCTTCCTGACCTATTACAGATGCATGAACTTCGCACATGTCATGAAGGAGGTTAAGTCCTCAACGGCAGCAAAGACGATAAAGATGTTTTTAGAAGACAGAATCTCACTGAAGTCTCTTAGGACAAAGACTATCTCAACCCATTTTAGACTCACCCGGCTAGCCAGATTCTGTAAGAAGAATTATGAAGAAAATGAGAAGAAGAGAGATAAGCTTGATTTTGAATGGAGGATGGCACAAGGGACTCTTATTACCAAGTTCAGCACCGATGGCTCAGAGAAAGCCCTAGCAAAGGAACAAAAGCTTATTAATTTCGACCCAGATTTTAAGAGAGAGATTTTGACGGAGTACTTAGATAGGTGTAAACTCAGACATGCAAATATGTTCAATAAATGGAGGGTACATAATGAAGGTAAGATGATAGATCTGTTGAATATTAGTCGTTAATTGGACTTAGGCAAAAGAATCGTTGGCAATGCAAGCGGGCTCGTTGATACAGGCATCTTTATGATTACACAAGGCGATCAGAATCCTGAAGAGGAGAGGATAAAATCTCTCCGTTCTTTGGGATATTATAGAGGAGATAAGAAAACTTTAAATGAATCTTTAAAGAGATTGACGACTATGAGTAAGCTTTTGAAGAGAGGCTCAATTAATTTATAGCTCATGGTGACGATAAAAGCAAAAACATTCAAGCTTTACCAAGAACAATAACAGATAAGGAAATATTTAGCGATGATAGCGAACTCTCTGAAGGAGGCTATGATCAGACCAAATTCGAAAGCGAAGCTATAGAATACCTAGAAGGCCTGCTAAAAGTAGAAGCCCCACCAGTCCTCATCTACATCCCCACCGAAAAAGTCATGAGACAATTGATTTTAAGAAATCTTTAAGAATTCCAATACTTAACACCTCCTAAGGGGTTTTGGGGTTTTGGGGTTTTGGGGTTTTGGGG